TCTTTATTTACTTGCATGGCACAATTTTCAAATACGTGCCCATCCACTGCTCATGTTGTCTTTGTCATGGAATTAGGGAAATGTAGCATGAGATTTAAATTTGCAGCTGCTGTCCAATCAATGAGGAAAGGCTACCGTGCAGATAGTGCTATGATATGTGACATTAGCTATTCAACAGTTACAGTCCTTGGGACTTTTGATTTCTGTCACCCTGGAAAATGAGCAGCATTTGCGCTGACAGCTTTTTTTTCCAATTCACCCCTTTTAATGAATCTATTCTAACCTGAGGTATGCATTTAAATAAATTTTACACGCCATATCAAAACAGCAATATTAACAGTACTTGTTACCGCAAAATTCCATGCATATTACAAGGAATTTACCCATGCAATACATGTAGCCAAAATGGAGCTTTTAGATGACATCAATCTTAGAGGGTGACAACAATAGCCACAATACGCAGACCCATATTTTCTACTGGGTCTTGATGAGAACAAAAGTATGCTTTTGTGCAACATTCAAATTTGTCAAATAAGCACCAAAGAGAGATTTATTGCATAAGCTAAGGTTGCATAAAGAAAGTCCATATGCCGTGTACAAAAACTCCTATATCTCTAGGTCCCTAGATCCTAATGTGACAAGGATATTATTATCCACTAGAGTCATAAAGCCTTTTATAGAGATATTTTCCCCTTTAGCCCTGTTATTTTAATTTGTGCACAGATTTTAACACAGGCAATTTCCCCCTGCCAGGGTTTTTCACTAATATAATTATACTGTCTTAGCTCAAAATGGCCTTTGGTTCTTAGTCCACTGGGCTCAAAAGATTATTTTCTTGTGGTGGGAAACTCTCCACCCTGCCCAGGAGCTCACCATTATCTGCTCTCAACACCCCGATCCTCTGCATCCTTCAAGACGCTACACAGCTGGGCCCAGCATGAAAATGACAAGTGTTAGAGAGCTCCAAGAGTGTATTTTCCTCTGGCTGGGCATCTCAGCTTCTGGAGTCCTGTCAAGGCCATCACAACACATGCCTTTCAATAAAAAGTGATCCTAACAGGATTAAATGTAATTTAGAGTCAATAAGGAGAAGTTTGCTATCGGGCAGAATTATAATAGACAGTATCATCGGAAGGTAAAGCATTTGGAATGTTTTCAGGGACCCATTCTGCTGTAAAAATGAAACATGAAGAAGAAAATGTATTCTCAGTTCCATCTTGCACACAAATGAATTCATTCTATTAAAGTAGCAAGAACAGTATATTGTTATTTACAGGGGAGGAAAAGGGGGAAGAGAGATTGATAGAAGATGGAAAACACTACGAGTTCACCACCAATCCTCTTTACTTTGGATTCTGTATAGCATGGAAATTTATCCCTTAGAACATACAGGAATCCCAGTACATAATATTTTGTACAGGATACTCTGTTGTTAAAACCTATGCCGTACATATGCACAATGGAATACTACTCAGCAATGAACAATCTTGAGATGTTGCCATTTGTGACAACACAAGTGAACTGCAAGAAAGATAAAAATAAGCAAAATAAGAAAGAAGACAAACATCATATTAGTTCACTGGTAGGTAGACTATAGATAAATAAACTAAAGGAAGAAACAAAGCTCATATGAACTAAACCCCAATACTCTGATGACAAAATGGTGGTCAGCAGAGAGGCTGTGGATGTAGGGATGGTTGGAACAGGTAGAGAAAGTCAGGTGAATGGTGGTGGATGGAAATCAGTATTTTGGTGGTGGCCATGATGTAATGTATACAGATGTGGACTTATGGTTACATGTGCCTGAAACACACATAGTGTTCTAAGCCAATGTTCCCTTAACAAAAATGAACAAAAATCAGCACTCCTTAATTCACATGCTTAGGAATCACTCTTCCCTATGACCCCAGTGGAGGATTCTATTTTACCACATCTCCCTAATTCATGCCCTGCCACAATGCATACAGTATGTTCTCCCTAGTACCATAGTAGCCCATAATTCTAAAGCCCACCATTGAGTATCTCTGTCAAATTTTCTCCTGATTTCATTCTTGAAGATTCATTACGTCTTATGCTCAGTTCTATATCCCTCCCAGGACAACTAGAGCCTAAAATATTGTGATCCGTGATGAATATGTGTTCTCCAGGTAAAGTGTATTGCTATTAATTAGATAGTAGTAATTCCATCCGCTCTGATTTATTCTGCTTTCACAGTAATGAAACTCAGTGTTCTATTTTCCTCCTGCCTAGCACTGAGCAAAAGAACTAGTGCTAAGGATTATCATATAAATCCACTTTTTTGGTCATTCAGTGTTAGGGAAGTTTTCCAATATATTGCAAATGTATTCATTATTCCCCTATTCATAAAAAATAATTAAAAACTATAGGCTGAACACAAATTCTCAGAGCACAAAAGCCTGACTGAAACTCCAGCTTCAAATACTGCCATAGCCAGCATCTTTATGTGTTTGCTCATAAGAACTTGAACCTTTTCTTTCAGTGAAGGGCTTGGGTGGATATTTCTTGGTCATGTTTGCAATGAGTTACAAAATTAAACTCAGTATTGAAAGGAAAGAGAAGTAGTATTTTTGTATGTTTCTGGTAATGTAGAAATTACTTCCTCTAAATGTAAAAACACTGCCCCCTTCAAAAAAAATTTATCCCAAAAACATCCTCAGAATATAATTAGTTCACATTCCCTTTACCAAAAAAGAGGAGGAAAAAAATTTTTTAAATCCAGGCAAGAAGGAAGACAGGAAAAACTACAAGTATATCCAATCCATCATTGTGATACCCAAGCTTCTCTTTAGATAAAACAGACATAAAACACGTGCTTTACAAGTCTCAGATGACCTTCAAGACATCTAAGTACAGTATCTATGGATTTTTAACTATAATTAACAACTCTTGTTTTTCCATTTAAACAATCCAGGTTCTGTTTTCATGACAGGCAAAAAGCCTATCAATCTTGTTCTCAAATGCTAATACAAGCAATTAAAAATAACATTAATTAAAATACTACAGAGGCTATTATGTTTTGGGCTGGTGGATTTTTTCTCTTCACCTTAACCTCATGGCAATTTTCTGATTTACAGGTCTAATTAGGGAAGCACCCTTGGTTTAATCTGTCTCTGGGACGAAGGGCTGGCCTTTAAAATTCAGCGGAGAGCTGCAGAAGGAAACTCAGAGGCCGCAAAAGGAATGTTTATTTCACCTGGTAGACCAAATGTGACAGATCACTTTATTTACAGCACGAATATTAATTTTCTGGTTTTGGTAAGGAAAATACAGTGCTCATTTGTATTGCTGTAAAACTTGTAAATATGCCCTGTAGGATAAGTAATATTCAAAACAATATCCTAATTAAAAAGGAAAGCTCTGTTGTCTTGCAAGATAATACAAGAGTGCACATAAATTCTAAAAAGATATATGATAAAAGTGAAAAAGACAAGCTGGATAAAAGAGAATTGAAATAAGATTGTTGAAAATGTGCTTTTTAAATGAACACAAAGTGTAAGATAATGTCTCAATCAACAATAAAAATAACAAACCAGTAGGCGAAGATGTAATAGAATTTCCTGAATATACCATTTTAATCTTAATATAATTTCCCACAGTGCGTGCACTTTTATTGAACTACTATGACCATTTCTTTTTCACTCTGTCCAAAGGTACAAAGGGTGTTTTTGACTGTAAATGATTTCCTGAATATGACACCCCAAATCATCCAGAAATCGACCATATTTTTAAAAGGTGACATAGCATGTGCTCATGGCTAAAAGCCTCTGAGTATAGCAAAATAGATGCACTCTTAAGGAAGCAAAGTGAAAAACAAAACCACCTTCCACTTTCTCTACATCAGCACCTCCACCCCCTTTCCTTTTTACCCTCCACACAAAAGATGCAAAACAGGTGGGTAGGTGGTACAGCAGGTAGGATGCGCAGATGCTCAGTAGGACTGACCTAAACTCAATCCCTGGCACACCACAAGGGTATGCCCTACCAGTGTCACTTCCTAAGTGCAGAGCCAGGAGTATGCCCCTAGAACAAATAATAACCAAAAAAAAGGAACGACTTCGGTGGCACTCCACGGGACAGAAAATAGAGATGGCCAAGGAGGGCAGGGTCCAGAAAACAAACCTGAATGGCATCTGAGAAAGATGCATTACCAGGATCTCAGCTTCTCTAGTGGTAGAATAGACCTGATCATATTCAAGCCTGATAGACTTCAAGTGTTTACCTAACAGGACTTAACTATATATGTGAGGATACAAACTCCACGATATAAAAGATTTGTGTAGAAGACATGGAATCCAAAGAGACGTTTTTCATTTACTCCTGATGCCAACTAAGGAAACCCAGCCCATGCCCAATTCCAATTAAACCAAAAACAAGTCAGTCATTCAGTTACCACTATGAGGAACCCCTGCTCCTTCACTTACACACAATATGAATCATTTAATATAAAGGTAAAGGTAAAGGCCCTCCCGTTGTTCATCGATTTGCTCGAGCGGGCCCAGTAACGTCTCCATTGGAGACTTTGTTGTTACTGTGTTTGGCATATTGAATACATCACGGGGAGCTTGCCAGGCTCTGCCTTGCGGGCGAGATACTCTCGGTAGTTTGCCGGGCTCTCCGAGAGGGGCGGAGGAATCGAACTCAGGTCGGCCATGTGGACTTAATTTATGGGTGTAATCGTGTACTTATGAGTTTTAACTTTGTTAAATATTCCAAAGTAAAGGCAATGCCCTGTATATTATGTTGATTCTATTTTTATCTTATTTTGGTGGACATAAACATTTCAATATTTTTATTCTATTCTCAGTATAATTTGCTTTGTTGATTTACTTGACGTGTATCAGGTAAGAGAAAGATACATTGTTCATTATATATAGAAAAGGAACCAAACATATCAACAGTTCTATTTATCACTTAGTTTCCTTGTTGAATAGAATGAATAAATATATAATAAGACTAGTATTTAACAGACTTATTTTGTATAGTATTTTTAATAGTAAAACAATTATGGACCACAGGAAATTGGATCTACTAGGAAAATGTCAGTTTATGTAGGTAGAAAAAAAAAACAGACGAGAAAGCAAGTGTACTTTTAAGAGAAAATTTGTTGTCAGACTTGAAAATTATCAATAACCTGTCTTTGTAGATTTTAGAAATTTTTCTAGATAAATTTAAGTATTTGAATAGAAGTTTCCAAATCTATCTGATTTATTAATATAACAATCAGTAGCAGTGGTTTTCTATTATATTTGTTTGTTTTCTGGATCTACGTGAAAATAAGGAAAAGGAAATTATTATATCTCTAGACATCATATATTCCAATTTCAGATTCACTGTTCAGTGAGTGATTACAAAAGCAAGTTGAATTTTCTCTGATATGCATTTCCCTTGCAAAAACAAAGACTTCTTCTCCAGGTGGAACAGCTGAACCATTGTCTCTATTTTTGACCCTCTAGGCCATTGTTCCGAATGACCTTGGCGTACTCCTTGGCCGAACTATAAGGTACTCGAGGTCTAGCTGGATCTTCAAAGTCAACATGGAAGAAACCAAACCGGCTGCTATACCCCTGTGTCCACTCAAAGTTATCCAGAAGAGACCATGCACAATATACTTTGAGGTTGACTTCATCCAGTTGGATACCTGCAATTATAAAAAGAAAGGAAGAAAGAAGAAATAGGGTTATTTTTGTGAAAGGCTCTATGGAAACAGACAACATAATTGATGCCCAGAGATATAATAATTGGGTTGATGTCTCCTGTAGGAAATCACAGTAGGAACAGAGGAAAACTTCTCAACCCCCTTTTCTGGTTCGCGGTTCTAACCAAGAAGGGGCTTCACTCCTGTACTGAAATTATAGATTATATAAATTATTTCATGTGCTCATTTTAACATCTATTTTCTTTACCCATTCATTTACTCACACCTTTTCAATGCCTACCACTTTTCGGTCATATGCATGCAGAGACACTCAGACACAGTGAGGAAGAAATAAATACAGAGCCAGAAAAGGAAAGAGAGAGGGAAAGTTTCTTCCTACCACCTCAAATTATATTCAGTAAAGATATTGTCTAGCTTCTAGGCATAATCTTCAGACAATCCAGAAAACCATTGGTGAGCTAGAAGATGTTACCATGACGTGCTCAGAAAGTCCAGCACTTCCTTTTTGTCTCCATGTGGAATTGAAACATGACTTCTGATTTGGGAAATGGAATCTTCAAAATGAAAAGCATCATCTCAGAGTTCTAGCCCACTCTCCTAAACTGAGTCACGGTCACAGTCACAGTCCTCTCATTGTTCATCGATTTGCTCAAGCGGGCCCAGTAACGTCTCCATCATGAGACTTGTTACTGTGATTGGCATAACGAATATGTCACGGGTAGCTTGCCAAGCTCTGCCGTGCGGGCGAGATACTCTCGGTAGCTTGCCGGGCTCACCAAGAGGGGCAGAGGAATCGAACTCAGGTCAGCCATGGCCGCTTGTAAGGCAAACACCCTACCGCTGTGCTAACGCTCCAGTCCCCTAAACTGAGTAAAGCACCAAAATAGAATGTTATTCTCCCTGCTCCATTTGAACTCAGAATGATGCTCTTTAGGTATATATTCTCCTAAGGTAGACAGATTCACAACACATATTCAATATGTAATTTCATTTGTGGATGTGCCAAAGCACATGCATAGACTCCATTGTAAGATGCCAAGCTGCAAAGAATCATCTCAGTAGTTTTCCATTCATTTCCATTACTTTAAATTTCAGTTCATTTTTATTAGCATCTTTTCATTTTTAAAACAAGAGTAAATAAACACATGTAGAACGTATATTAATATCCATTGCTAAGCATTAAAACTAAGCTATGGGGTCTAGGGAGAGAGCTTTGTGGTCAGAGGTACAGGATTTTTATATGCTGTCCCCATATTTGATCCCTGTTACTGCATGGTCCCTAGAGCACTTCAAGGCGTTGACCTCATGGCCTGAGAAGCATCACATTGTTGGTCCAAATCATCTTCGACCTTTTTGACTTTTGACAATCCATACATGAAAGGTTCTGACAGGTTAAATGATATAAAAACATCTCTACTTTCGTATGTGGTGCCCTGCCAAGTGCTTTGCTTAGGGAGTGCCTTACAAATGGCCTCAAGGTAGGATTAAGCATTGGCTCTTTTTAAATAAAATGTGTTTACAAAGTGAAATATATACCACTCAACTACAGCCAGTTTTTCAGGAATTAAAACTTTTGTGAGGTATCTTTCTTCTACTTGTTCACATAATCATACATCTCCCCTCTGTTCTGTCAACGATAACCTACAAACTATGAATTTAAGAAAGATTTAAGTACTGGGAAGTATCTCTTTAAGAATTAAAGTGGGCGAAGCCAAATATTAGTCCAGAAAACAATTACCTCCTTTTTCTGCCTGATAATTCAATCAGAGGACAGGTGAGAATCTGTGCCTTTTCTTCCTCATTTGCAAAACTACAACCCTAAAAGCAAGCCTGCCAGCTATAAAGCCAGGCAGTTTCTGAAAACACACCCTGTCCCACTGATCATGTACAAAAAGGATTGATTCATGTGCTAAGCCAGGGGATAAAAACCATGCCTTCCCTGCTTGGAAGGGAACAAAAAGGAAATCTTGACAATTTCATTGTTCACTGCCAGGAGTTCCGCAGCAGGTACTAAACTGCCGAGTGACACTAGTGGATGTCTCTGCGTTTTCATTGCAGGGACATTCAAGTAGAGAATTACCTAGTTTGCTGAGAAACTAGCCTGCTGGAATTGTTTGCACTGTGCCACTACTGAAAAAAATTACAAAACTATGCTGGAAATTGCATGCCTCTCCTCTTGTGGTCCCCTCCAGAGCAGAGACCATCACCACTCATCTTGTCACGATATACAAGGTCCCAAACCTTAAAGGAGGGAAGACACTTAGAGAAGTCCACTCTCCTGTTTTGTGTTTTAATTAGTGTTGCAGACAAAGGAAACACCATATGACAGGAACTGTATGTGAGTACTACACTCTCACATATCACAGAGTTTGGGACTCAATGGCTAATCAGCAAGATTTTCACCTCAGCGCCAAATAGGTCAATTAGAAATATGCAAGAAGAAAAGTCTCAGAGTCTTATATATGTTAAACCCTTAATCAGGTTGTGTTCACTAGAAGAACCCCATGTCAGTGCTTTACTCCACATACATACCCACATCCACTCATTCACACACAAGTACACACACTGCCCAGTGTTAGCCAAACAATGTCTGCAAGACATCCCTCACACCCGACACAAACTACAAGTCGATAGGGTTCTGCAAACCATTCTCAACTTCAGTTATCTAAAGAGAAAATTATGGAATTCACTATTCGTTGTTCTACTCACTGTTGTTATTTTATTAGTCTGCAACTACAGCAGAATCTGGGGGATTCCATACACACAAACCCTCCACTGGACTCTCTCCTCTAGGAGTCAGGATAACTTATCCTCCTGGTACTGACTGTGAAACTCAACATGGAGCCTTCACAATCAAAGAAGCTCACCTGAGCTCACTGTCAGAGGATTTTTCTTTTTTAGCATTTCATTATATTGACCTACTGATTGATGACCTAGGTAGATGAGTTTAGTGATGAGGCCAAGTAACACAATGTCATTATCCAAAGTCTCCGTCATCATGCGCAGGGTTGGCATCTTAGTGAGTAACTAATCTCCGCACTAAGAAACAACAAAAAAATTACCAGCAGTTTTGTTTCTCTTTCAGAAGCAGAGGGCAAAAGCCAAAACACCCGTTCTTTGTACAAGTCCACATTCTTTACTATTATATGCACTCATGCGCACATGTCCACTCACACATACTCATGAGAGCAGCTATTTCAGAAGCTTATTATTTTGTAGCACTAGGCAGAATCTTCTCAAATTACTGATTTATAAAGGGCTGTTATTTGCCAGTGTTTGTCACATTATGAAGGGCTAGAAATTGGACACTCTATCAGTGGCATTTGTGTCTTCACAGTTTATAAACATAGATGAACTTTGTGTGCAAGATTGCGTAGGGTATATAAGATATCCATAAATGTCACACAACCATCAGGCTATCAAATAGACCAGTAATCTGCAGCCATGATAAGAAGCAGTGGAAAGCTTATAGACAATAGGAAAGGCAGCAAAGAAAAGTGAGCTAGACAAAGGAATGAGCAAGAAGGAAAAAACCCACTGGACTCCTCTGTGTTCCCTAATGGCAGACTATATCACTTGTACAAACTGTCTTAATATAAATAAGTAAGCATTCTAGATTAAAAAAAGTAAAGCAAATCTTGAGAGTAATGAAAAACTCACAATGTTGCAAAATATCACAGGCTGGAGAGATAGCACAGTGGGTAGGGCGTTTGCCTTGCATGCAGCTGAGCTGGCCAACCCGAGTTTGATTCTTCCACCCGACTCGAAGAGCCTGGTAAGCTACTGAGAGTATCTTGCCCTCACGGCAAAGCCTGCCAAGTTCCCCGTGATGTATTCGATATGCCAAGCACAGTAACAAGTCTCACAGTGCTACTGGTGCCCACTCTAGCAAATCGATGAACAATGGGAGGACAGTGACAGTGACAGATCACCAGGCAAAATAATGCAGTAGAATTTGAGTAGATTTAAGAAGTGGAAATTGGTAGTTATGCAGCGATTTTTACCTAATAAGAACCTTTCTCTATTTTTTTGGAGTAAGTATAGGTATCAAACTCCAGAGCTGTACTGGGTGGAAAATCTAGTATGAGGTACCACACAGATAATTAGCCTTCCAAAAGATTAATCCATGCAGACAAGGTGAGCCAGACAAAAGACAGTAATTGAAATGGCTCAAGCCACCTATTATTGGTTAAAAAAATACAGTCTGGATCTTGGATGGAAGTAAGTCCAAGTTTCTATAAGATGCTCCTTAAAGTTCTTTTTAGAGGTAAGCATCTATTTTCTATTTTTTAATTATTACAAAATGTTAGGTACAGTCATCAGCATGTGATAAAAAAAATAACCAAACATTGACAAATGATTATATAAAAAATAACTAGATTACAGAAGCAAGCTCATAAAAATCTCAATTATCAAAATTGCCACCAAGGCTTATAAAATAACTATGTTTCTATGCTAAAATAATAGAGATTTATGAAATACCTTCAAGTTTCAGGAATCTATAAAACATCACAGGGTAGATTGGGGAAAGGGGCTTATACTGGCTTGAGTCTGAATCCCTATCATGACTATAAAGGCCTCTCTAGTTTCCATAGTGCAATGGAGACACTATTATCAATTCAGGGCTAGTGTGAAGATTAAATGAGACAACATGGACCTCAATACAATACCTAGCCCATGAGAGGTTTTGGCTGATTTTTCTCTCTAGCCACTTCATAAGAGATGCGTAATTCAAAGAAGAGGTGTACCAATAGCTCTCCCAACCCCAGAAACACATGGATAAAGCATAATTTAAGTTTAACTGAATATTTGGACAACATAAGAAGGAAAAAGTGTCACAAGAATGTTAAGCCAAGGAGAAGTGAGCATGAGGACTAAGGGAGAAGAACAGACAGACTGCATACTTCTAAAGACAGAGCTTTTCAATAAGTTAAGAGTTTGTGTTATTTTCTCAAAAGAGGTATCTCCAAATCATTGTCTGG